CCTCCCTGCTCTGACATTCTGGGTTCCAAGGCCCCTCCCAGCTCTGAGATTCTGTGTTCTAAGACCCCTCCCAGCTCTGACATTCTGGGTTCTAAGGTTTTTTCCAGAAACAATCACCTATGTTTCAAAGTCTCTCCTAGCTCCGATGCTAAGTGTGACCCTCTAACACAGACTTGGGGCTCAACAAGGTGAATTTCCTGGCCCTGCCCAAAGCCCTGCTGGATACACACAGTGTTTTTGCTTGTTTTTCACCTTGAAAAATGGACCCAAACATGCAGACCTCATGTATGTTATTCACTGCCCCCCTCCACACTGGTCCCAATACTGGTGGGTGTTTTGGAAGATTAAACTGGTACTTTGGGGAAGGTAGGACCAGGACACCAATGGCCATTAAAGTTTCCTCTTTCTCTCAGATGACGAACCCTGCCATTCAGAATGACTTCAGTTACTACAGAAGAACCATCAGCCGAAACCGCATTAATAACTTACAGGTGAGACAGTGAGCCAAGGATGGCAGAGAGAAAGTATGGCAGGGTCAGCTGGGGAAGGGAGTCATAGAATGAATTTTTGGAGACCTGCTGAGCTGTTAGGAAACTCAGAGAAGGACTGTGATGGCTCCATCTTAGCTCTGTCAGTTGTGGCAAGGTAACTTTGGACAAGTCCATTTCCCTCCCCAGGCCTGGTTTTCTCACCTGTAAAATGAGGGAGTTGGAGATAATCTCCAAGGTCTCTTATAATGCTGACATTCTATGTTCCAAGGCCCTTGAAAGCTGGGAAATTCTGTATTCTAAGGTTTCTTCCATTGATGACATTGTATGTTCTAAGGGCTCTCCCAGCTCTGACATTCTGTGTTCTAAGGGCCCTCCCAGCTCTGACATCCTGTGTTCTAAGGCCCTTCCCAACTCTGACATCCTGTGTCCTAAGGCCCCTCCTAAGTCTGCTATTCTTTGTTCTAAAGCCTCTTTCAGCTCTGATGTTTTGTGGTTCTAAGTCACAAAATGGACCCTGCACTCAGACCACCTAGCCACACCAGGTTATGCTTGGCTCCTTTCTCATTTGGACTGGCTGGACACAGCTTGATTGTTTGCCTTGGAGACAAAGCACTCTGAGCTACTGTGGAGGAATGGGGGGATGGGGGGCAGAAGTGGTGGATCTGGGTGGTCTCTCATCCCTAGACCAGTTTCGTGGTGTGACCTGCACCTAGCCCTTCCCCTTTTGGGTCTTGCAGCTAGATGCTGAGAGTGAAGTCAACAATGAAATGGCCAATCGAATGTCCCTCTTCTATGCAGAAGCCACTCCCATGCTCAAAACCCTAAGCAATGCAACCACCAAGTTTGTATCTGAGGTAAGAGCTCTGCTGCTTCAAGTGGAGGAAAGTCTGAAATCTCTGAACAAGAAGAAAGTCTTTGGAGTTGGGGAGGCCACTGAGGCAAGACCACAGGTTCTGGGGCGGTGGTACCTTGGGGAGCTGAGAGATCTTTCCCTGTCTCTTTTTGAAAGGTTTGGGACTCTGGTCTGAGCTTGAGTTGAAGTGTTTGTGGGAGGGAAAAAACCTTCCTTATTAAGAACATGAGGTGTTAATGTAAGTAAGGGTAAGGGAGTCCTCAATGGGGGTCTACCTAAAGACGATAAATAAACTTGTTTTTAAAAACTCCCAATTCCAATGATCCATCAACAGGCACACCCTCTCAGAGAGGAGTGAATAGTAAGACTGCCCAGTAGAGGCAGAGAAACAAGATGGTGGAATCAACAGGTTGGAAACACTGGAGGTGGTGAGAATGAGGCCAAGTCAACAAGGATTTCCTTAAGTGCCTATTGTGTGCCAGACACTGGACTAACCACTGGGGATACAAAGAAAGGCAAAAACAGTCCCTGTCCTCAGGATGTTTACAATCCAATGGATTCATTGCCTCTCTCCCAAGGAGGGAATGATTTCCACTGAGCAGGGAACCTACCTTTAGGGGTAGACCCAGCCTGGTGAAAGTATGGAACCCGAAGGGGGACAACTGTTTGGTGGGGAATAGGAGAGGGACACAAGTCAGGGGAGTGGCTGGGTCCTCTTTTCTCCTCCCAGAACAAGACACTCCCCATTGAGGACACTACAGACTGTCTTAGCACCATGGCCTGTGTCTGCCGGGTGATGTTGGAGACACCGTGAGTAGAACCAGTACCTAATCTCTCCACCCCAATCCTCCAACCTCCGTTAGCCTGGCCATCACAGTCAAGCGGGGCCCTCCAGGAGCCAAGAAGTACAAGATCTTTAGCAGAACCCACACCCCTATATCTGACTCTCGAGTGTCACTGAATTTCAGACTGTCCGAGTCAGATGGGACCTTAGAACCTAGAACATTCAAGCTAAAAAAGACTTCAGAATATAGAATGTCAGAACTGGCAGAAACCTTAGATCACTGAATATTAGAGCTAGAAGGAACCTTAGAACCTAGAACAGGTGGTACAGTAGATAAGAGTGTTGGACCTGGAGTCAGCAAGACCTGAGTTCAAATCTTGCCTTGAATATTTACTAGCTGTGTGATGCTAGGCAAATCATCCTCAGTCTCCTCTTCTATAAGATGAGGATAATAAGAATATACTTTATTCAGTTGTTGTGATGGCCCAATGAGAGAGTGTATTTAAGTGTTTTGCACACCTGAAAGCACTATATGAAAGTTAGTATTACTATTATAATTAATATATAACATTATATTATTTATATACAATATATTATTAATTGTATTACTATAAAACATATTACATAATATTATATTATTATTATGACTATTATAGCACTTAGACTGTTAAGACATAGCATATAGACTATGAGAATATTTTAGAATATGGAAACACTAGGCCACTGGGCATAGAACTATAGAGACAAAAAGGGCTTTCTGGTGGAACATAAGAGCTGGGAGATAACTGAGAAATCTCCAATCCTGTCCTTGTACAGATGGGAAAACTGAGGACGAGAGAGGAGAAGAAAGTTGTCGAAGGCCATAGCAAGAGTCATTGCCAGGCCAGGACTAGGCTCTGGGCTTCTCGCCTTCCAAGTCACTAGTTCTCATTTCTCCACTGCGACAGGGAGTACCGGAGCCGGTTCACCAGCACGGAGACTCTGCTGTTCTGTATGCGTGTCATGGTGGGCGTCATTATCCTCTACGACCATGTGCACCCCGTGGGGGCCTTTGCCAAGACATCCAAAATTGACGTGAGCTCTCCCGTGGCCCAGGATTCCAAGACGGAGGGCAGCAGGGGTGGGACAGGAGCCAAAGGGGATGACGTCAGTGGGTGGGGCCCTTAGGGATAGGGGCCACACTTGTTTGTTTGAGGCCTGAGAATTGGAGTGAAACAGTTGGTGTAGGGGGTGTGGCCTTGATTGGGCATCTCCCCTTCTCTGCCAGGGTCTGACTGTGTCACTGCTTGCCTCTTCAGATGAAAGGCTGTATTAAAGTGCTAAAGGATCAACCTTCCAACAGCACCGAGGGGCTTCTGAATGCACTGAGGTGAGTCTTGACCAGGCAAGCAGATGCTCCACTCCTGATGGGGATTGGGAATGAAATTCCCACTGAGCTCCCCACAAATCATGACACTTAAGGCACCTCTCCCCCTCCCCACGTACATGTGAAGTGCCCCAGAATAGCTCCTCCAGGTTTAAGATTCTCTCTGAGTCCACATGCACTCATTCTAGCTGACAGGCCCCCACCAGTGAGCTTATTTTTTTCTAGTCAACTAGAAGACACAGCAAAGGCATTTAATGAAATAGTAATGAAGGTTTACAACAGAGTAGCCCATCTTCTCCCCGTCTCATCACGCCCCCCAAGGGAGGGAATACAGGTCTGGTGAAAGGGGGTAGGGATGTCTGGAAAGGCAGGAGGAGACAATGGAATGAGCTCTGGACTAGGAACCAGGACAAGAGTCTGGTCTTGGCCGCTGTGTCACTAGAGACAAGTCCTCTCACCCTCTGGCACTGAATTTCCTCTATCTGTAAAAATGAGAGAATCAGCCTAAGGTCCCTCCCAGCTCTAAGATTCTGCAGGTCATGAGGACTGACTTCTTCCAACCTAGGAGAGGAGGAAACTGACGCTGGTAGAGATGAGACAGCATGGCCAGGCAAGAAACTTCACTCTCTCCCTCCTGGACCATATTGCCTGCTAGATTCTTGGAGAAGCTTTAAAGAAAGACTACGAAGGATAGCTAGGCAGCACAGCGGATAGAGCACTGGCCCTGGAGTCAGGAGGATCTGAGTTCAAATGCAACCTCAGACACATAACGCTTACTAGCTGTGTGACCCTGGGCAAGTCACTTAACCCCATTGCCTAGCCAAAAAAAGAGAGAGAGAGAGAAAGACTAGGATGGAGAGGTGGAAGGTACCACATGTACTCAAACATAACTCCCTCCAGGCTTTGGGATCAAGTGGAAAAAGGGAATAAGCATTTACAGAGCTATGTGCCAGACACTTTACAAATATTATCTCATTTGATCGTCACAACAACCCTGTGAGGTAGGCACTAAATAATATCCTCATTCTACAGTTAAGGAAACTGAGACAAACAGAGGTTAAGTGACTTGCCCAGGATCACACAGCTAGTAAGTGCCTGAGGTCACACTTGAACTCAGATCTTCCTGACTCCCAGGCCCAGCACTCTATCTACTATACCACCTAGATGCCAAGATTTGATATCAGAGTTCAGAAAATGCTGACAGGAGACAGGAGTTCAAATCACAGTTCTGATGCTCGCTACTCACATGACCTTGGGCAAGACCCTCCATCTCTTTGGACCTCAGTTTCCCCATCTGAAAAATGAATGGGTTGGACTCGATGGACTGTCACGTCCCTTCCGATTCTAAATCCTTTGACTCTATGATCTTGCCTCAGGTACACCACCAGGCACCTGAATGATGACACCACCTCCAAACAGGTCCGAGCCCTGCTGCAGTGAGGCGCTCCCAGGGAATAGGGTCCCGACTCCAAAGCTCCAGGCTCAACCTTGAACTTCAGCTGAATTTTAATGTTGCCATAATGTGAATATAAAAAAAAACAAAACCATGACCATATTTCTCATTTTATAAAGAAAGGGAAAAGTTTTAAAAAAACAAACACAAAAACAGTTCCCCTACCACCCCCTCCAGCTTCTCTTGACCATCTCCCCTCCTGCCTGTCTCCCCCAGTCTTGATCCCACTGAACTCCAGGGGTGGACAGCTGGCCCTCACCCCTTTCTTCCCATGAAGATGACATGACTAGTTTATGCCTGCCTTTCCAGGAAACTGAGATATGGTTGTCTGCCAGCCTCCACTTGGCCTTTCCCAGTTCCTCCTGGACCCATGATGGTGACTCCCGTGTTATAGAAAGCCTGGGTACTCTCTCAGATCTGGACTGGTACTGTCTGGGCCCTGGGCAGTGGACCTAGCAGGACTCTGGCCTTGAAGCTTTGGGACTCTGATCTGGGCTTGAGTTGAAGTGTTTGTGGGAGGGAAAAAACCTTCCTTATTAAGACTGTGAGATGTTCATGTAAATAAGGTAAGGGAGTCCTCAATGGGGGTCAACCTAAAGAACATAAATAACCTTGTCTTTACAAACTCCCACCGGGACTCCAAGGGAAATGGTTCAGCTACATCTTTTAGATTTTTAATATAAACTATTAAAATCACTCACTTGTTGCTTTGTACATTTTTGTCTGAAATAAAATGACATTTAATCTGTTCCTAGTGGAATGGGGGTAGCCTTTCCAAGCACATTTTCCATCAGCTGTGACACACGGAGGGACCTCCCTGTGGGTTGGTTAAGTGGGGAACGGTCCCTGAGAAAATAGGGAGTTGTTCCCAAAGAGCAAAGTGGGATGGCCCTTTGTGTTCTAGGTGATTCATTAATGTTGGGGGTTGGCAAGTCTAGCTCCTGGTTATTTCTTCTACCACAACTCATTCATACATTCCTTTCTACATTCAACAAATATTTACTATACTTTGCCATTAAATGGCTGCCATCAGGTAAACAGCAACATACAATCCTCAGAGTAATGTTTCTCAAGGTAGCACGTCAAGGACACCATCCACTTGCTTTTTCTTTTCATGAAACAAACAAACAAACAAACTATGAGTTCTTTTTTTATTTGTTTTTTTCTTTCTTAACCCCATAAATTTTTAATTAAAATAATAGCACGCTTTAATAAATAGCTGAATTTGACTTACAGACATTGTCCTTCTAAGCCAAGTTAAAGCAATACAGACTGGTGTTGACGCAGAAAACGCATTGATCAGTAGCCACTACTTCACTAAATTTGGTTTTATTTTCCACTGTGAGGAAAATCTTTACTTTTTTTCTCACCTCTCGTGCTATCCCGGGGCAGTTCATAGTTTCTAGTCACTTACTTGGCTGCTCCTCAGTATAAAGATTGTTAATTACCTTCATTTTTACTGTGAGCTTCCCGTCCCATTTACAGCTTTTTCTGCTTTCTAGGCACATTTAAAAATACCACTTAAAAAGAAACAAAACAGAATAAAAACAAAAACCCTGAACAATTTGCAGTGATTTCCTCCCCCTAACCACTTTCTCCTTCGCCCCTCCTCCCCAATCAGAAATAGTTACAAAGCGGCTCAGTTTGGAGACAGTGGGATGAACAAGACGACGCTGTTTTTCCTTCATAGTTATCACTTCTGGTAGCAATGTTTTCATGGACTCGACTTTCCCCTGTCTCATGCCTCCTCCACCATGGGAGGGAGACAGGATGGATATTAATCCCATTTCACAGATGAGTATATTAAGGCTCAGATGATTGAAGCAGACTGCCCAAAGTCACACAGTCAATCATGGGAGGACCTCTTCCAATTAGGTCTTGGATTTTGTTTTATCTGGGAGTTGGGGTGGAGTGGGGACGGGATTGGTGGTTGTGGTAGATCAGAGAAAGAGTACATCATGCTTTACTTGTCTTGAGCATCACCACCCTCCTCCCAAAATCTAGGAAAAATCTAGACTTCTCATGTGGTGTGATAGAAAGAATGCCGTACTGGGAGTCAAAGGATGAGTTCAAGGCTTGCCTCTGCCATTAGGTTGCAATGCTGTGCTCGGACAAATCACTTCTCTCTTGGCTACAGTTTCTTTATATATAAAATAAGGGGGTTACGTTGGATAAATGTAAGGTTCAGTTTCATTCAGCGCACATTCATTAAGGGTATACTAAATCAATCAGTTTATATGGGGATACAAAGGCAGGACAAGCTTTGTGGGACTGTGGTTTTGACTTTTCTCCTCAAAATTCAAGTAGATGGCTTAGGCAACTAGGGAAATGTCTTCATAATGCTATGGCTCATAAGCCCCCACAGGTGCCCTTCCTTCTCCCATACCCATGATATCAATTAGTCAACTAGACTTAATTCACTTTACTAAGTGAATTTTTTTATATTTACTAAGATGATAAAATAAATAGCCGGTTCAAAACATCCTCTGTGACTTTGTGACACACTCTTTCACAAGTACAAGCAGGGGAAAATGGGTTCAAGGTTAAAGGGTACCTGGGGCAAAGGGTCAACTCTTAGCTCTTAATTGCTGAAAATCCTTTTCTCCACTTCGAAGGGTACTCAGAAAATTCCCCTTAGGTACCATCTAGGTTGCTTTTTTGTAAAGCTGAATAGTTTTATTTTTCTGCCCAACTGCTTTCTAGTTTTCCCAGAAGTTGTCTCTTTAAAAAAAAAATTAGAATGAAATCTCTCTCCCCACTTGAGAATTTTTTTTAAAGATAAAAAAAAAATTTAAAGAGAAAACAAGATAAACAAAGCTTGTCACAAACATGTACAATCAAGCAGAACAAACTTCCACATATGTCACGTCCAAAAAAAGATATGCCTGAATTTGCACTATGAGTCCATCAGTTCTCTATCAGGAGGTGGGGGACATGTTTCATTTTGAGTTCTCTGGAGCCATGGTTGGTCATGTGTTGAACAGAGTTCCCAAGTCTTTCAAAGTTGTTGTGATTGTTTTAAACAATATTATTGTATGAATTGTTTGACTGGTTCTGCTCACTTCATTTTGCATCAGTTTATACAAGTTTTCCCACGTTTTTTCTGAAACCATCCCCTTTATCATTTCTTAACAGCACAGTAGTGTTCCATCACATTCATATACTGTTCAGCTATTCACCAATTGATGGGAACCCCTTCAGTTTCTAATACTTGCCAACATAAAAAAGAATTGTTATAAATATTTTTGTATATATGGGTCTTGTTTCTCTTTCTTTGATCTGATTGAGGTAGAGGAGACCTACTAGCAGTATGAATAAGGCAAAGGGCATGCTTAGTTTAATAGCTTTGGGGACATAGCTTCAAATTGCTCTGCAGAATGACTGGACCAGCTCACAGCTCCACCAACAGGGCAGTAGTGTACTTGTTTTCCCACATCCCTCCAATGCTTGCCAATGTTTACCCAAATCTAAAGGGTATGAGGTGCTACATAAGGTAGCTTTCTTCTTGGCTCCTTTGAGAGCCCTGGAAGCTGGTTTTTCTTAGTGTGGCTATTTTTGCCTAGGCTCAGTCGACTGTTCCAGGGATATTGCTAGGAAGTCCAAAATCTTCAGACCTTCTGAAGGTCACAGAGTCATCCTCTATCAGAGGAGTCTGAAGTTCCCTTCCTCCCTTCCTCCAACACCCCAAGTGATTCCCTCTTGGACACTTGCCAGGAACGGCTCTCTCCTGCCTTGCCACTGGAATCTCCTAGGTTCAGAACTGGTTTGCTAACTAAAATTTTTAATTAGCAAAAATTCATTCCTGCACAAGTTCTCTCTCTGTCTCTCTCCCCCTCCTCCACCTACAGCCCCTCCATGCCCCAATTGAGAAAGAAAAGCAAAACTCCTATAACAAATATGTATCATCAAACAAAACAAATTTCCTCACTGGCCATGCTAAAAAAAAAAAAAGCTTCATTATGTACTGAGTCCAGCTCTCTATCAAGAGGTGGGTATAATGTGAAATCCTTAATTTCATTACAGATGATTCTCTGGAATCATGGTTGGTCATTATGTTGATCAGAGTTCCTAAGTTTTTCAAAGTTGTTTGTTTTTACAACATTGTTGTCATTGTATACATTGTTCTGATCCTGCTCAATTCATTCTGTAACAGTTCATACAAGTTTTTCCAGGTTTCTCTGAAGCCATCCCCTTCATCATTTCTTACAGTACGATAGTATTGCATCACATCTATATACAACAACTTGTTCAACCATTTCTCTTTTGAAGGATACCCCTTTAGTTTCCAATTTTTTGCCAGCACAAAAAGAGCTATAAATATTTCTATACATCCTTAGAGATTGTTTAGCACTAATCCTTTTTTTAATCTTCTTTCCCTCTGCTTCTCCCCTTTCTGTCCTATTTCCTATTGAATGAAATGTATTTCTGTACCAATACATACATACCAATCTAGGTACATGTGCATTCTTCCTTCCTTTGACCAATTCAGATAAAAAAGAAGTTCAAGTGTCAGCCACTCCCCCCAAGTCTTTCTTCCTTTTTTGAACAGAATTCTATCTGCCCACCCCAATTATGTGAGATAATTTCCACTCATTTTCCTCTCCCTTCCCCCACCCTCTAGTATATTCCTCTTTTCCTCCCTTTCCTTTCTTTTAGTATCATAAAGATACACAGAACCCCTCCCAGGCCCTCTATCTAATTAGACTCCCTCAATGATCTCTGATGATAGTAAGGTTCAGAGATAACACAGGTATCATCTCATATGAGAATGTAAGAAGTTTATCTATCCTCATGGTTTTTCTACCCTTATGGTTTTTCACATTTACCTTTTTGTTTCTCTTGATTCCTGTGTTTGCACTTCAAAAAAAGCCATGCAGCTCTGGTTTTTTCATCAATGTTTGGAAGTCCTTTATTTCATCGAAAGTTTATTTTTCCCCCTCTAGGATTATATTCAGTTTTGCCAGATAAGTTACTCTTGATTGTAAGTGTATATCCTTTGCCTTTTGGAATATTGTATTCCAAGCTCTCTCTCTCTCTCTCATAGTGGCTCCTTAGTATTTGAATTCTTTCTTTCAGACTGCTTATAGTATTTTTACTTTGACCTGGAAGTTCTTGATTTTCGCTATGACGTTCCTGGGAGTTTTCATTTTGGGTTTTCTTTCAGGAGATAATCAGTAGGTTCTTTCTATTTCCACCTTGCCCTTGAATTCTAAGACATCTTGGTAATTTTCTTTAACTATCTCTTGAAATACAGTCTAGGCTTTCTTTTTTTTCTTCTGGTCATGACTTTCAATGAGCCTTAAATTTTTTCTCCTTGAACTGTTTTTCAGGTCATTTGTTTTTGCTATTAGATATCTTAAATTTTATTTTTTTCCCTTGGTTTTTTAACTTTTAAAAAATATTTCTTGCTGTCTCACTGAGAAGTCATTGGCTTCTCTTTGTTCCATTCTAATTTTCAAGGAGTTTGTTACTTGGGCAAGGTTGTATACTTCCTATGCCAAGCTGTTAACTCCTCTACCAATTCTTTCCTCCATAGCTCTCACTTTTTTTCTGTTTCTTCAAGCATTCTCATTTATTTTTTTTTAAAGCACTTTTAAATTCTTGTTTCATCACTTCCAGGAATTCCAGTTGAATCTGTGCTGTGGCTGTGTTTTTGAGATTTTGCTTGTAGATGTTTTGGAATCAGCTTCTTCTTTTTTT